TTAATCTCAGAATTCTGACTTTTTTCTCAGAATTCTGATTTTAATCTCAAAAAGTCAGAATTCTGATTTTAATCTCAGAATTCTGACTTTTTTCTCAGAATTCTGATTTTAATCTCAAAAAGTCAGAATTCTGATTTTAATCTCAGAATTCTGACTTTTTTCTCAGAATTCTGACTTTAATCTCAGAATTCTGAGAAAAAAAGTCAGAATTCTGAGATTAAAGTCAGAATTCTGACTTTTTTCCCATACTATACTGAAATAAAATAAAAAAATCAGTTAACTTTTTTTTTCCAGTGGCCCTAATCCTCTTCCGTATAACCATCATGTAAAAAAAAAATGAATTTTTTTTTTTAACCACACTCTACCCGCTTTGTGTTAAACTAACTTCCGGTTTTACTGACCCCTTTCAAAATAAAAGCATAGTCCTCTAAATGTAACCATCATGTAAGACAAAAAATATATATTTTTTTTTAAACCACACTCTTCTACCATTACAGTCTATGTTACATTAGAAGTGGTCTAGCTCTAAAACTATAACACTTAGACACATCAAACATGAACTAGATTATTTTAAACTACTTGTAGGATAATCAGAACCAGGTCTTGGATTTGTGAAAACTTTCTCTGATTAGTGAAAATTCAATAAAACTGATTTATAACACTTTTTATGTGTTCATGTCACACTAGAAGTGGTCTAGCTCTAAAACTACACATAACTACAATATATAATTCAGTAAAGTATAGATAGCCAAAAATTCTACTTGACTAAGGTAAGAAATTATTCGTACTTTGTTACTTAGCACCTCTGAACGTAAACAAAACACGGATGGGTTATAATATAATATATATGGGTTATAATTCTTTATATCTTGAAAATTCAAAATCCTAAGAAAATTTGGAAAGGGTAACTTGATATGTGGTTTTCCTTGCATGGCTAGAGGTTTGAAGAAGTTAGGCTACCAGATTTCCTGTCAAAAGCTTGAAGACCTTAAAATCCAGTGAGACTATGATTGTATTATTTTTATGAAAATGTATCAAATAAATGCGGTTGAATCACAAAGGCTCTTTGTGACATATGGGATTTTGTGGATCAAAGGTCACTTGCATATATCTGTTTTGTTGTAATTCCATTCAGGTGTTAATGTAACACATTAATGAATCAAATAGTTGATCATCAGTGATCACTTTTTTTAATTATTCTTAGTGGTGGAATGATTTCAGGGCTGTGAAAAGCAAGCAAGCATTCTTCCACAGGCCTAGTAATTGTTTTATGTTAAGTGTAACGTTGCATACCAAGCATAAGAACTACCCTAAAATCCCACTGAGTTCTACTACAAGCTGAAAATGCAACAGTAACTAAAAGACATTTAGACTTTTATTTTGAAAATGTCAGAAAACCTTCTAAAGGACCAATTAAACCCATTACCATTCCTGGTTGAATTCTAGAAGTAATGGATATTCAATTTCTGAAATATGATGCAATATAAAGTGTTTTATAATGTAAAGCATGTTTTGTTGTTTTAACATATCCATTCTTTGTGTTTCATTTCTGCAGCTGAGAAAAACCTCACAGCTGAATTTGGACAAAACGTCACTCTTCCCTGCCACGCTCCTAAAAACAGCCCTGTAAAAGTTGCAGAGTGGAGCAGGGCTGATTCGAAAGAGAATCTTCTTCTGTACAGGGACGACCAGATTGATTTAGAGAACCAGGAGCCAGCTTTTAAGAATCGTGTGAATCTCCTGGACAGCAAAATAAAAGCTGGAGATGTGTCTTTAACCCTTCAGAATGTGACGACTGATGATAAAGGAAGGTATGAATGTCGAGTTATCCAAGGAGACACAAACCGAGGAAAGAGAGCAGTTTTAAAAATGCAGCCAATCAGCATCATCAACCTGGATGTTGTCTTTCCTGGTGAGTTAGTGAGTTTGGTTTGTCTCTCTGGTTTTTAATGTGAGTTAGTATCCTGAGATCTGTTTTTCCCCCCTAAATATGTTACCTGATGAGACAATGTAGAATACATGTTAAAAAGAAAATTAAATTGTTGTGACTCACCAGTCTAAGCCGATCCAAATTTCTCTGATCTGCAGATGTCAAAGATGACCAAAGAGAGCATAATGGAAGCTATCGAGGACATGGTGGTCTAGTCTGCATGGTCGTCATTGCTGCAGCTCTCACTGTAGTTTTGGCATATCTAGCAAGAAGGAAAAATGATATCCCTCCTATTGAAGCTAGTTAATTTGTCGAATTCAACATGGACATCAATACCAGTATTGGGAGTAACTGTTATTTAATAACTGTTTTAGTAACTGAGTGTGTAACGAATGACCATGAATTTGTAATGCCAGTATCCATCCGTCCACTTTCTCCCGCTTACTCCTTGTGAGGGTTACAGTTGAGCCGGTGCCTGTCTCCGAGAATATGCGTGAAAGGCGGAGTACACCATGGAGAGATCGCCATCACAGAGTGACACAGAGACACACAAAGACACACAACCATGCACACACTCACACCTAAGGACAATTTAGAGAAGCCAGTTAACCTAAAAGTCATGTTCTTGGACTGTTGGAGGAAGTCGGAGTACCCGGAGAGAGCCCGCACATGCACAGGGAGAACATGCAATCTTTGTGAAAAAAGCTTTGTAAAGTGTTTATAAAATGATAAATATAATTTAATTATATGTCTTGTGACCCTGCTTGGGATAAACATGACAGAAAATGGATCGATAGAACTATATGTCAACTTTGATCATTTCTGTGCACAATTCAATAAAAACTTGTGATCACCAGGTGAAACTAATTATTAATGGTTAAGAATATGAGTACGGAATGGCGTAAGCTCGGAAGAAAGGTGTTGGAAGCAAATGAGTGTCCAAAATGCACAGCTGGGCACTGGCTCTAAAGAGCCTGAAAACTAAACTTGTTGAAAATACTCCCAAATTAAAGTGTTTCCTGACTTAACAAAAATCAATAAAAGCATAAAAACTTCTATTAGGCTTGGTTTGACTTGTACCACAAAATCAATTTTGCTTTTACTGTTAATTATACCTAATAAAAAGAAGGGAAAAAAAGGAATAATAAGATTCTGAACGGTTTGATACATAGAGATGTATTATGCTTTTTGTGATTTTTGACTGGTACCAAGAGTTTCTGCATTTCTCTTGATAAAATAAACATTATGTCTACTTTAACTTTTATTTTTTCCTACTTGCTTTGATTCTGTTTTATCTTCCTGTATTTTAATCATGTAAAGCACTTTGAATTGTCTTTGTACTGAATTGTGCTATACAAATAAATTTGCCTTGCCTTGCCTTAATAACTTCAGCGCCCTGTTTGCCTGGTTCTACTGGAGGTTTCCTCCTTCTTCGACTATCACTGCATGCATGCTAGGAAAGCTTTTCATCTAATGTTTTTTTACATACTTGGGAAGGAGTGAATTCTGCAAATTCAGTGGTTATACTATCAACTGGGTCTCCTTAGAAAATTTAAAGCAATCAGAATTTAAGAACCTAAAATAAAAACGGTTAAAAAATAAAGGGCCAAATTCGTAAAGCAGCTTTACAGAAAAGTGTCACAAATTAAAATACTCTTAATTGAATACATTTTAATAATTTGAAATAAATATACATTTACAGATAAATACAAATATCATAAATATTGAAAATAAATTGACACACTCATTTAGTTGCTTGATGGAATGTTGATACTTTTATAACAGTTTTTATAATTTGATTTTGAATGAAACGGCTCTGTATGCCTGCCTGTGAGGCAGCGTCCAGGGAGTAAATAAACCCTCGTCCTGTTTGGCCCCACCAGATGACGACATCACTGTGCGCTGCCTCCTTTCATTCTGTTCTGTTTGCCATCATATATTCCTGACTCAGAAGCTTTTGTCTCATCGACAGTGACCTGTAAGGCCACTTGTAGATATTTTTGTGGTTTTTCTGAGCCTCACTCGATCATGGAGTCCGTGGAGGAAAAGACGGGCTCCATTTCTGCGGCTCAGCTGCGTGCGGAGAAACGGAGGAGGAAACTGCTGCTCAACTCGGAGGACAGGATGAACAGAATCGTGGGCTCCACCAAAAAGGAGCCCGATAACAGCGGTACGAGTTCACAGCCAAAGCTCCCCCATTACACTTCATGTCTGAGCATTAACAATTAATAGAAATAAGACGTAGCACCATCTCCTAATCAGGGATTCACCCATAGATTAACTGTCCACATCTGAACAATGCATCAGATTAG